CAATGTGGGCCCACATTCTAGAAAATTGTTATAAGTAAGCAAAGCTAATGAAGCTAGCGATTTTTTAATGTGGACCTTCCTTTTGCAATCACTATGACGGAAGAACGCCTACCCACTAGGCGATATACAAATGTGGGCCCACTTGTTTCGATCACCATATATGACGGGAACAATGTGGGCCCACATTTGAGAAAATGATTATCAATATTTAAGTAGAATTTCGCGATTAATAAATGTGGTCCCTCCTGTTGCAATCAATATGACGGAAGAACGTCTGCCCACATTTAGGGATTGATTATCAGAACTAACGAAACAACCTAACGAAGCTAGGCGAAATACAAATGTGGGCCCACTTGTTTCGATCACCATAGATGACGGGGAAAATGTGGGCCCACATTTTGGAAAATGGTTATCACCACTAAACCAATCTTAGAAGATGTACTGATGGAAACATAAATATATAAACATTCAAACATTTAATTACCTTACGTTTTACCTTAGGGATAAGCGGGGCATTTAATAGCTGGACCAACAACGTGCAGCGTGGGTGACGCCATTTCTCGCAAATACGAAAACAACGGAGATAGCTCCCGTTTGAAATTAGAGTGACCTCCCTTTCCCAATATGAACCACTGATAATGCGGTTTCGCCGATAAATATTTATATTTGCTATACATGAAGGCAAATCACATAGCCACTTTTACCTCAACACATCTAATCGCTGTACAGGAGTGGTGATATCAATATCAAAATATCATGATTCCACCACAAAATCAGTTGATGCTTCATTGAATGTTTATTATTACTGACATTACAGTGACTGCAGGATGTTGAGAATGTCCTCCAATTCGATCGTGCAGCTCTCTTTACATGTCCAGAGTGCTTTGACCAGGTCCAGATAGGTGGCCGAACTGCCATTCCACTGCTTCCATTTAGTGAGCATAATCAAGATCTGCATATATACATTGAACATGGGTGTTCAACTCTACCCTGTTGGATAGCCACAACGCTGAGCCCAAGTTCAATCCCGACATGCTCAAAGCCGATCCCGATATGTCTCGCAACAAGTCCGAGATCTCGTCTAGTCACTGGAGTCTTGAGTTGTCCTTTATCACAATGTGCTGAACCTATGTGACAAATACAAGAGACACAATATGTTATTTAACGGCTGTAATTAGATGTAAGAATATAATATTAGTTCCGGAGAGCTGTTATTGCGACAAAACAGTTTAAGAGAAAAAATAACTGAAATGATAACATGTGCATGGGAAGCTAAAACATATTACAGTAAAACAGTTAAAGAGAAATACAGGAAACCACAGGGGACAATCATGTATCAGCTTTACATATTGAGCAAGCATTTCTATATGGAGCCTGATCAATTCCAAAGAAGCCTGCAGGAATCTATATATGATTCAACATTTCGCAAATCATTTGAAAGGCAATTCCAGACCCGGTTGCCTCACAAACAAACGCATTCAGCAGAACATAGATGTTGTTACCCGGGGATTCCCAGCTGAGGGAGCTTGAAGGAGTTGGTTTGACTTCTGGTTTCACGAACACTTTTGTATTTTATTGATATGTTTTGAATTAACCTAACTCAATTACCGAACTATATTGTCAAACAGCTTAAAAAAACCTACCAGAAAGTTTCAGAAGAAAATGCATTCATACAATCTTCAAAACAGATATTTTGAAGAATGAGTAAAACAAACATTTCTTTACGATCTGCTGAATACAAAGACAGGTCAGTTCGTTGTTTGTCAAACTCTAGAATAGAAAGTACACACTAACAGTGTTAAGCTCACATGCTGGATCATTTCTGGACACGCATTGCATTTTACTTCATAGTCAAAGAAAACATTAAACTTTCACCATGCTCCACTTGATAATTTCATTTGTATGGAATAACATACAATCTGCAATGTCATGTTGACATTCAAATGATGAACACCTTACTGGGCTGCTGACTATCACTGACAGAGTCAATGAGAATATCAAAGAATTTGGTCAATCACTGTTAAATAACACCCAGTATGATGCATTTAGAATGCTATACTCTGAGGGTCGAGTGCTGAGTATTACAAATTGCACATTTATCATATGTACTAGAAAATCGTTTAGACGTACAGTACCTGATATTGAATTCCTGAGGTGCACGACAGATATTCCCCATGCTATCTGTATCTCACACTCACCTGAAATGATCGGACTGAGCCGAGAACTGGCAGCTTCACGTGAGCAAATTCCGGAATCCCCCACCACAATATGAAACTACTAATACAAGACAAATACAAGAGACACAATATGTTATTTAACGGCTGTAATTAGATGTAAGAATATAATATTAGTTCCGGAGAGCTGTTATTGCGACAAAACAGTTTAAGAGAAAAAATAACTGAAATGATAACATGTGCATGGGAAGCTAAAACATATTACAGTAAAACAGTTAAAGAGAAATACAGGAAACCACAGGGGACAATCATGTATCAGCTTTACATATTGAGCAAGCATTTCTATATGGAGCCTGATCAATTCCAAAGAAGCCTGCAGGAATCTATATATGATTCAACATTTCGCAAATCATTTGAAAGGCAATTCCAGACCCGGTTGCCTCACAAACAAACGCATTCAGCAGAACATAGATGTTGTTACCCGGGGATTCCCAGCTGAGGGAGCTTGAAGGAGTTGGTTTGACTTCTGGTTTCACGAACACTTTTGTATTTTATTGATATGTTTTGAATTAACCTAACTCAATTACCGAACTATATTGTCAAACAGCTTAAAAAAACCTACCAGAAAGTTTCAGAAGAAAATGCATTCATACAATCTTCAAAACAGATATTTTGAAGAATGAGTAAAACAAACATTTCTTTACGATCTGCTGAATACAAAGACAGGTCAGTTCGTTGTTTGTCAAACTCTAGAATAGAAAGTACACACTAACAGTGTTAAGCTCACATGCTGGATCATTTCTGGACACGCATTGCATTTTACTTCATAGTCAAAGAAAACATTAAACTTTCACCATGCTCCACTTGATAATTTCATTTGTATGGAATAACATACAATCTGCAATGTCATGTTGACATTCAAATGATGAACACCTTACTGGGCTGCTGACTATCACTGACATAGTCAATGAGAATATCAAAGAATTTGGTCAATCACTGTTAAATAACACCCAGTATGATGCATTTAGAATGCTATACTCTGAGGGTCGAGTGCTGAGTATTACAAATTGCACATTTATCATATGTACTAGAAAATCGTTTAGACGTACAGTACCTGATATTGAATTCCTGAGGTGCACGACAGAATATTCCCCATGCTATCTGTATCTCACACTCACCTGAAATGATCGGACTGAATCGAGAACTGGCAGCTTCACGTGAGCAAATTCCGGAATCCCCCACCACAATATGAAACTACTACTTCTCTATCGTTCATGTTCGCTTCCAGCAAGGATCAACGGATTTTCGGATTTTCAAAATCGATATAAAGATATTGCGATTGTCTCGATGCAGTGTAATACTATGAATGGATCACTGAAAAGCAATGATGACACCAGGTTTTCGAGAAAATGTTGAACATGTTCTGCTCTACTTGGGCGGCCCACCACTCCCACAAATTTACTAAAGTAAGTGTGCAATGTTCCTGCCACGACGTTGGCCTGAACATAATCGTTTCTAGACCAGTGATCATTATCATGAGCAATCGTGACCATCCCATCGATTCAAATGAGTGCCATTAAGTTAGGAGGAGTAAAACGTCCCTGTAATGTCATGGCATGTCAGATCATCGCGCATGATGTTGACAAACAGCGTGTTATGTTTGATAAAATCCTCTGAATGTCTACCATAAAATGTTTGAAATGACTTGAACAGGCCTTTGATGGTGCAACCTTATTTGAAAGACTTAGTCCTATTAAAGTTATAAAATGTAAGAGGGGATATTGTTGAATATTAGACACATAAAATCGAATTGTTGGACCCACTAGTTTTATCACCAATACAAATATGTTTCTGTAGTGTAGAGATGAGAGAACATCTGTATCAACACATACTTCGTCTTGACGTCAATCCCTTCCGTCATCATTCTCAGTCCACATGCTAACGTGTTTTACGTTTTACGGTAGGTGAAGAGAACATTTCCAAATTTGAAGCATCAGTGGCAAAAATGACGTGCGATGCAGTTTCCGATTTTGACTATATGAGCCCGTGTCTGTTCGCACTGGATAACACTGGCTTTTCTCTTGCATGTGTTTCAGACGGTGCAGCCAGTGGGCAGGACACGCTCATCTTTACGCTGACACTCGGTATCATAACTATGTGATAGTAATGAAAAAATACATGATAATGTTATCGCTTTTCTTTTTATTTGTTAGATTTGCGAAGAAGAAAATAGGCATGACAATTTGTTCAATAATGACCTTCGATTGAAATAATAAAATATAATATAAATTGTATATCCGAGGCAATGTTTTGTAACATAAGTTCCTGCTTTTGTGATATAAGATTTGTGCATTATAACGACTGTTGAAAAAATTGCAACAGTTGTCATTTGTTATCAATCTAAACAAGCACCTGCATCATATGCATAATAATTGTTCATATATCTAAAACAATATTTATTGTATATTAAGCCATAAGACCAATAGTAAATTTTGCATATTGTTATTTACCAGGCTATATTTCGGCGTTGTTTAGATATTTTATTGGGCACTGGCTCATATACATAGGTAGCATGTTTTAAGGAACATGTTTATGTCTATATATATCTCAGCTACATGACCTTACAAGTAGAATAGAGCTAATATATAAAGTCAGAAAATAATGGCGTCCTTAATGAATCAAAAACAATTCTACAACCGGCAAACCTTGTAATAGTGTTCAAAATCAGAATAAACAGATAGACAGTACCCTTGAAATTACATTCTAAAAATATTTAGAATTTTCAATCCTTAATACAGTCGGGACATATGTTATGTGAGAGGCAATTATGTTTCCGGATTTTCGGACTACGGATGACGTTTAGAGCACAGCTTGTTATCCCTCGGTCACTGTTCCGCGAATATCACAAGAGGCAGAATGACCAGTTCTTACAAAGGACATCATAGCAGTTTATTAACATACAAATACAATCACAATGTATTATATACGGCAAATTAATGATAACTGTACATATGATGAGTGTTCAGTGCGCAACTTGCACGAGGAAGCAAAAATCATTCAGTTCAGTCATGATCCCAAATTGTGCACAGAAACCTCAGTGAATCTAGTATTGCGACTCGATATTTCAAAGCGGATGTTTCCTCTAAATGTGATTCGTACATGCAGGTGCATGGCTACGCAGAAATAGATGTTAGTCCCCGAAGGGTGTTGAGAATATCCTCCCAATCAATAAATCAGTGATAACTGTACTTGAGAAGGGTGTTCAGAGCAGCACTTTATTAACCTGACATAGTGGACGATCCCTGAAGAATGTTCAGAATGTCTTCCCGCTCAATCGTACATTTCTCGTTGCATCTCCGAAATGCTCTGACGAGGACCAGGCTGGTGGCAGATCTTCCATTCTTCTCCTTCCACTTCGTAAGCATGTGTACAACCTGCATGTACAGTGAACATGGATGTGCAAACGTGACTTGTTCGATAACCACGAGAGTAAGTCCAAGTTCGATGCCGACACACTCAAACCCTATCCCAATGTGACTTGCAACAAGGCTGAGATCTCTTTCAGATACAGGGATATTCAGCCTCTCTTCATTCACAGCATATGCTTGGTTCCAGGGTGTTGTACCTACAAGAATCATCTCACAATAAGCATGTTCTCCACATGTGTATGTGTGTGTGCATGAATGCATGTGTGTGTGTGTGTGTGTATGTGTGTGTGTGTGTGTTTGTGTTTGTGTATTTGTGTGTGTGTTTGTGTGTGTATGTGTGTTTGTGTGTGTGTTTGTGTGTGTTTGTGTGTGTGTGTGTGTGTGTGTGTGTGTGTGTGTGTGTGTGTGTGTGTGTGTGTGTGTGTGTGTGTGTGTGTGTGTGTGTGTGTGTGTGTGTGTGTGTGTGTGTGTGTGTGTGTGTGTGTGTATGTGTGTTGTATATTTACTGTCAATTTTTAAATTCCCTATCAATATTCTACGTTATTTTAACTGATCTTAAGATTAAATTCACTCAAAAACCAAAGAGAAAAACATATTGTTAATGTACCACAACGTGTAAAGAAAACGTTTGGGTGGATGCACAGACAATGGGAATAATGTCAAGCTTGCATTTGATAAAGCATAACGTGACACACAATCCATATCTTACATTTAGTAAATGGATAAATGCGACTGAACGTACCTCTCAGTTCGAGCTGATGGTTATAATAGCAGGTCATGTGGTCGTCTGTCTTGAACATTTTCTGGAATCAAAATGAACACAATGAGGCATATTCCTGGTGACGCTTGGATCCCGCATATTGTAAACTTTAAACCAGTTTTAAACCACGATTGAGAACTGTAGCGTCACAAGAAGTAGGGTAATGTTACATTCACTAGTATGCATAAATAAACATAAAGTCGCAATTGCACGTGTACATATTCATTAATTGTTAAGAAAATACGTGAAGGGAATATTACCTGATATCTGAATCTTGACCAGTATGAAACAATATTACCCATGCTGCCTGTATCTACGACGTCTAGTGAGAAAATGAAACATACATGTGTATCCCTCAGTCGCCGCGACAATATGACAACTTAACACAACTACATTAAACACATATGAATAGGGAAAGGGGATTCCCCCTGCTTGCTGTACGGGAATTGTTGTAGGACCTGTGAGGCACAGGTGACAATCTTGTTCCAGCTCTCGGACCGCAGGTTTTCGGATTTCATAAACCATTTCAATCTTGGGGTGTGTGGGGGTTAAATAGCAATGACGGTGTAAATAAGTGTTTCATTCACTGGGCCTGCTTTCTAGTCCAGGTGCATTAAACGACTGGTTGGTTTGAATTGAATCATCAGTATGCACATCGTGTGCATTGATACTGGGGCGGTGGGTAGCCAAGCGGTTATAGAGTGTACGTGTAGGTAAAGGGGCATCCGGATATGTAATGATATTGGCACTTAATTTCTATAATTAATAATATATCTGTTTTATTAAATGATCTATTTGTTTACTTTGAGCGTGTTGCTTTCATCAACTCATGAAAACATTTGCCTGTTGTTCTCAGCACACGTTCTTTATCCCCCGAAAAATCGTGTGTCAGGAATTGACATATTCATTCACTACACACTTGACTTCGCCAGGAGAGATATCGTCCGCCTGTCTATAAATAGGGATTTTCCCTGTCGCACAACTAATACGATCGAACCAATAGTGTACACATAGTGTCAAACTCGAGTTTCCACTACACAGAATGTAGGCCTCAAATGATGTAAGAGTCATCAGAGATTGTGGTGATGTGACCTGACAGTCTAGCCAGCCTAACGCTGTGTAATAGATATATGCGAGCCCAGCGTATGGTGTCTTACTGTGTTATCGCCCTTTATGTAAAGGAAGTTTAGTAGGGATTACATTGTGTGAAGGCTATGGTAAATTTGTCAAAAGTTTGTATTTGAAATCAGGAATAAATTGATGATGCAAATGTATCAAATAAGATAATGAGGAAAAACACACCCGTACGCATAACGATACTATTCTAATACAGAATAAATAAGGTGCTTTTTTTCAATGCAAGCATACTCAAACAGTCGGTAGTTAATGTGGAGCAGTCAAAGCTCTATTAAGGATTTGGCTTACAGCCGTTCCTTGATGAAACTAATACGTAACACCTGATCACGAACTGCACATGCTCCTTTGACAACCACGGTACAGTGTTTGAACCGATCTAGGTCCGAAAATGCGACAAACGTCAACCTTGCAAGGCTATAAATATATGTCACTACATGGATGCACATACCGGCGTATATACATTGTAGCAGTGACTGGCAAAAGGTTCGTTGGAGTTATGATGTCACACTCAAGTGGTTTTCGTACACCGTGACACCGATTGAGGTTAAGATCGAAGGTCCCTTCGCCGTTCCACAATATATAATTGTCAATGCACGAGAATAAATAAATATATGAATGTACCACTGAAAATCAATGATGACACCAGGTGTTCGAGGAAAGGGTAAGCATGTCCTGTCCTACCGGTAGCACCCGTCATTCATACAAAGCGATCGTAGCACCAGGGCGACCGTAACTCCCACACTTTAGCATAGACCTACGACAGTCGTAGCGCTAAGATCGCTTAGGAAAACGGGGCCTGCGAAGCCATACACAATGTAAAGGCGTCATATGTGGACAATATTAAGCTGAACCTTTCCGGCAGCTATGTTGTTTGGTTGATGTATGTGACAGCAGTGTGCATGCAGTATCCTTCCCGGGGAGGTGTAACTGACAAGATTAACAGCTTCTGCACATGGCATTTAATTTATTTCGCAATATCATTTAGTGGGCGAAAACGTCCTTAGAGTGTTTAGGGCTGCATGTCATTGTGTGTGGGAAGGTGAAAATGACATTTAACAACTGACTCAAAGAAGTAAACATCCACAAGAAAATAATTGATTGCAATACTGTTTACGGTTCAGCTAAGATACTACTGCTGCATATTAAGTCCAGGAAACTCATTGAATCCAGTATGGTTACTCGCTATTTCAACGTTTTAGAGTTCCCCAAGTGTAAACTACGTAGATACTTGGCTACATAACGCGATTGTTTACAGACCGCCGTTATAAACTGGAATATTGCTGAGTGTGGCGTTAAACAACAAACGAACGAACGAACGAGATCTACATCCATCTGGTCAACCCTGTCCACCCTGTCACCCACCTCTATTTACCCACTTAAATTTTAATTCAAATCGTCTGAGCCAAGTCTCTCTTATGTGCCGAAACAGGTTCCACAGCGTGTAAATGCAAAATTGCGCACATGATCAGAGACAAAATCAATCAGGTATGACACCAGGTCCTTACGAAAGGGTTAACATGCCCTGCTGTATCTGTATAACCTTCTACTCACCTAACGCTGCACTAAAACAATACTTCTGCAACACGGCCCTATCACTAGACCGCTTCTGTGGTCTAGTGATAGAACATCTATCCGGAGAGCGGAAGGTCCGTGCACGTCGCTATATAAGTGTACTAAACTTAGACGTGACCTTAAACCCAATTTCCCTTCCCTTCAGGTCTATCTTCGTAAAAATTAAGGTCTACCTTCCCCATTGAATGAGTCAGCAGCACTGGGTTCACAGTGACCATAAAGTATCCACATAGTCTGACCTGCCCATGTTTGAACGATGGGAACGATGGGTGCGTCCAAATCACTGAGATCAAAGCTTGGATATGATACCAGACTGTTCAAAGTCTATCCAGATCAGCTTTAACATCCTCCTGGAGCGGATATGGCACATGTCTTGTCTTGAAGAATCTGGGTGCAGAATCATCTGGTAATTAACCTTGAGGTGAGGTGAAATTGGGTTTAACGTCGCGTCCAAGATTATTGCACTTATATAGCGACGTGCATGTACGTGTGTGTGTGTGGCTGCTTGTACTAGTCCGGACTGATGCCGATTTATAGAGCTAGTTCACTGAGATACCATTCCGCAGTTTAACATGAATACCCCACTCAGAAACAGTATACTGACTCCGAGCCGACCAGTCCTTGTTTTAGCCCCTTAATACATGGGTGCAGAATCATCTGGTACAACTAAATTTGCCTTGGCTTCATTCAACTTTACTAGTCGTTCCCTTCCGAGTCTTACTTAATCATTATCGTTTGGTCAAAAACGTCTTGAGTCTAAATATATTGACTCCAACTAACAACAAAAACACATATTTCATAAACAACCTGTGAAATGTTTGATGAAATATTGATTTTTAGTTTACTTTTCATTTTTGAAAGTCAGATTGAAACAATTTCAATATCTCAGACAAAATTGTTATGGATGATATCAATATCGAACGGAGTTGAAACAATGTTGATACAATGTTTTTCAAGTAAGCAAACTCAGATCAACCAAATTTCAACTTTAGAACAATGACAATGCTGGGATACTTCAATGGAGGAAGACATTGTTAATTATAATTATCTGTGTAAGTTGGGGTACAGGTTATTATGAAAATTGTTAAAAAAACATCCTCGGCGACGTGGAGTACAATGTGTGAAGCCAATTTTTGGTGTCCCCCGCCGTGATATTGCTCGAATATTGCTAAAAAGCGGCGTAAAACCATACTCACTCACTCATTCTCTCAGTGAGCATAGGTTGAACCAGGCAATAAAGATCAACAGAGGTCATTGTTACAATATCAGAAACCTTTGAAAACAATAGGTTTCTAACTGAGTAACATTTCTCTACTCATGTCGCCAGACAACAATATTGTAATTTGTAATATTATGTTATATTTTGATCAAGACCTGATTTGAAACCACAATAAAGTATGTATATTAAGTGGATTCACCTGATCACGAAGACTGACGCTTTTTTGGATTGTTACTCGGACATGTACAATGCTCATCTTGAAATATGGTCACACAGTGTACTGCAGAAATAATGCAGGGTAATAACAAATATCATCATTTAACATCGTTTGGTAAAAGGCGGCCGGAGCGCGAACTACCTATTTTCCGCTCTCCGGACAGACTCGCTTTATTTTCCCCGCAAGCCACACACAGAACAACAAACCAATTACAGAACGTCCCCTGCGGTACAAGGAGAGACGTTTTTGAAGCCCGGAGCCGTTATAACAAGACCAACACTGATGCGTAGACAAATACAGGGTACATAATGAATATTCATGCTTGGGTGTAGTTCAGCATATAACCTTTTGTCATCTACAGGTTCAAGTGAACAACCGATTATTTATCACACCTGTGTGACTCATGTGACTATTAATAACTTTACAAAATGGCGCCTAATCCGAAACCACCCGAGCCTTACCTGACAGGGAGAACCTCAGCCCTTAAAGTGGAGGAAATTGTTAACATTCTGAGGAGTCCAGATGAGAGCAAGGCCATCCAGAATGCCCCCGCCACACCCCAGGGAGGGGAGGTGTACCTCTATAAGATAACCTCGGGAATGGGAGAAGGTGAGGCAGCTGTGTTCAGGCTTAATATTACCATGAGTCAGGGATTAATACATATGAACCATGTTAATATTTCATGGAAAGCTGATATTATTTATTACACAATTTGAATTCATTGGGGTTGTCAAGTACACATGACCAATGTCCTCAAAGCCACATTCATATACATGTACGTTATCAGTAATAGTCTGCTTGACGTCGGGGTCACCCTTCCCTGGTATCAGCTTCCTTGTACAGCCCTGTGATAACCGGTTTTATGTTCGCTAATATTGT